GGGGGGGGGGGGGATGGGTCTTGTAGATGGAAATTGACGAGTGGAAATTTATATACATTTTTTAGACGTAATATATGAACAACGAGAGCGAGTGTTTCACCGGGATATCCAAATACGAGACCAGATAAGCTAGATCAGTAATGGCCGACGCAAATTGTTGAACCTTTTTATCTCTTTATGGACTTGTATTACGTTTGTATATATAGAGATTAAATTGTTGTTGTCAGAATAGAAATCCAAGCTTCCGACTTGCCAATGTGCTATGTTCTGAGTTCTGACATTTTGAGGTTTGCCGATCCGGCTAAATTTGACCAGAGGAAAATGAAATTTGTTAAGCCCTTCGAGTTAGCCGGAGTAAATTTGTTAAAAATTGGATCAAATCATGCAGGGGAAACGGGATTTAGTTAGAAAGGTCAACAATATAAGTATTTAACAAATTTAGTATTTTACTAAATTTGTTCAAAAAATATCGAATTTTCTAACTATACTGTATAGAATTAATTAAATGTGCTGACCAAAGCCGCGCGACCTGGAACGAGGTTTTCAAGCTATCTTAATGGGTTGTCTTGGGAAAGGTCCATTCAGAATAAGTGTCTTTATGTTCGACATTATTTTTAGTAAATTGGATATGCATATTGCCATATTCCAAATGGGATTTTCCAATCGAAGTTTTGTGTTTCATTTGCAAGAAAGCAGATGGTTTTTCGTGTAAATGTTCAACGACCATTGTATATTAGCAATTTACATACAAATTAAGAGTTACTCAAAATTCAGCGTCCTTGAAACAAAAAAGATAAAATGAGTAAAAACTCATTTACTATGTATTGATGTATACAAGCACCTGCTAACAAACACTATCAGGAGACATTTGTTTACTCTGAGACAAACAGATATAACTGTTGGGAAAAATTAGTCGCAAAACTAACAAAGAGCTCGGTACATACCGTATAAAAAGATTAGTAAAAGAGAACTTTAGGTAAGTTTTAATAAGTATTATATTTTCGCAGGGTTTGATCATTTTCACTGCATGTGTCGACAGATGAAGTTCATTTGATATGCTGAATTGAAAGGCATGGTTTATACTATATCAAAGTTTCTGTGATCACGGTAAGAATTTTCCATAGGAATTCTAAGTTTTGAAAGACTTGTATAGAAATGTCTGAGCGAACTGACTCAGTGTCTGACAGAGTTGTTAACGAGTCCTATGTTGCAAGTCCAAGTCAAGTCACAAGTCATTTCCTGCAAGTCCAAGTCAAGTCACAAGTCATTTGGTCTGAGTTCAAGTCAAGTCACAAGTCATTTCCTGCAAGTCCAAGTCAAGTCACAAGTCATTTGGTCTGAGTTCAAGTCAAGTCGCAAGTCATTTTGTCTAAATCCAAGTCACGTCAAGTCACAAGTCATTCCGAGTGGCAAGTCAATTCAAGTCAAGTCACAAGTAATTTTATCGCCACATGTGGCCATGTTTTCCCACGCAAAACGGCAAAATATGTAAATATGGCGTCGTTATTTTTATGTCAGAAATTTTACCGCGAAAAAAACCCCGCTTTGTCAGAAAATACGCCGGTACAAATTGGGTCGATGCCATTGATATGTACTAAGGTCGTTGCACAAATTGTACAACACGACGATCGATCGATCAACACAAAGATTTTGGAAAACTTGATTTTCACTATAGATATTTACGTTTGACTTGCGTTGGTAACAAGTCATTTCTTGCAAGTCCAAGTCAAGTCACAAGTCATTTTGTCCAAGTCAAGTCATCAGTCTCTTTAACAAGTCAAGTCACAAAGTCACAAAAATTGCGACTCGAGTCTGACTCGAGTCCAAGTCACACGACTCGAGTCTACAACTCTGCTCAGTGTTTAACAACGAGTCAAACATTTCTTACAAATCTTTCAAAACTTAGAATTTACCTATGCAAAATTTCTACTGTCATCACAGAAACTTTGATAGTCTAAACCAGCCTTAACCTTTTCCCGTTTCATAATCGACTCTAAGCTCAGATGTGCATAATGCGAGTAGCAAAACATTATAGTGAAAAAATAAACATGTAATGAAAAACTCTTTCTAAGTTTTCTTTTCCGATTCGATCATACATTGAAGGATAATAGCGTATTTAGTCTTTCACTCCAACGCCAGTTGATTTTTCTTGTAGAAGGATTAAGTTGTATCTTGTAGTATGAGTATGGACTATGTGGACTATTTTATCTGTCAGTAGACAAAATGATCTTCATGCGAAAGAATGCGAAAGAAACGCAATTTGTTAGAGGCCGTTTTCACCACCAGACGGAATTTTCCGCGCGGAGCGAAATTTCTATTTGTGTTTTCTAATTAGTTCCACCTGAGAAATCACAAGACAAAGAAAAATTCCGCTCCGCGCGCAAAATTCCGCCTGGTGGAAAACGTCCTTAAAACTGTCAACCTCGCAAGTGAGGATCTTAATACTTCCGCACGGCGCTCTTGCGAGGTTGTAAAACTGTATGTTTCGAATGCACGCCTCAAATTTAGCCGAAACGAAAAAGCAAGGCTTTTTGATCTTGAACGTTACTGGTCTGGAAACTAAACAGAAGTGGGTTTTTTTCTGTGCTGGTGTTGTGTACTCAGGTGAATATGATATGTTTGTGACGTTACTCTGAGTGTATATCCAGAAACAAACTATAAACAGAAGTGATTGTATTATGTTTTTGTTTGAGTTTATATTAATTTGTGCACAGTCACGGTGATTGAGCTCATTGTATTCGTCAGCATGAGCTCCACCTTTGAATTTACTATACGAGTAAATTCTTAAACACGTCCGAATTTATCATTATGATAAATTCGGACGTGTTTAAGAATTCAAAGGTGGAGCTCATGTTGTATTCGTACAACCCGCAGTATAACAATTTTGCATGGTCAAACGTCTGCGTGTATCGTGGTTAAATTAACATGTTTTCTTATGATGTTTGTGATGTTACTCTGAGTGTGCATCCATACCGCGGGCAAGCTGAAAAGTTTGCCTGACCACGGTGGGAATCCAACCCGCGACCAATCCCAAAGGTCGCGGGTTCGATTCCCACCGTGGTCAGGCAAACTTTTCAGCTTGCCCGGTGTGGATGCACACTCAGAGTAACATCGCAAACATCATATTCACCTGAGTACATAACACCAACACGCACAAAAAGTATCATATCTTAGAATACATTGATATCGAAGGAACTAGACTCAGTTCCGAGATATCACCAACTCGAACGGACTTTGACCGTAGCTCAGTTGGTAGAGCATTCGACTAGCATCCCAAAGATCACCGGTTCGATTCCCACCGTGGTCAGGCCCGGTATGGAAGCACACTCAGAGTAACATCACAAACATCATATTCACCTTAGTACATTACACCAACATACACAAAAAGTATGTTTTCTTATATTTCAGCTATACAACGTCAAAGATCAGCGCGCACCCTAAGCTACGATGTATTACGAACAATATCCAGTGGTCACGTGGTTCGTCGTGCCTTCATATCTGTTCGTTATCGTCGTGGGAACGTTCGGTAACCTTGTGGTACTCCATGCTTACGTCACAGGCGAGAGGGTATGGGAACGACCTTATAACTTGATCTTATCCCACGGAGTTGTCGCTGACCTTATTATCTGCGCCTTTTTTACACCGCTCTTATTGCTATATCGCTCCAATGCGCCTGCGCATGTGATAGAAAGCACACCGCTGTGTGAGATGGCCGTGTTTTCGTCGATGTTAGCCGTCTCGCTACAATACGTCATTTTCCCGCTCTTTGCTGTAAACCGCCGGGACCTGGTATTAAATCACACCACATGTTTTCTTACCCAATCAAAATGCAAGAAAATGTTAACCGCTGGTTGGCTCATGTGCGTCGCAGCTTCGGCAATTCAGGTCGTACTGCTTCGTAACGAAATCGACACCGAAACCACGCCGAAGTTGTACCGATGTATTTTGGTCAACACAAAATGGGATGCGTATTCGGTTTTCTTCCTCGGGTATTCGACCCTACTCTATGGCGCATCCATTTTGACAGCATACCGCTGTTACAAGGATATCCTCAACGCGGGCTCACTCGACCCAGTCCTCCCAATTGACGACACGCGCCGTACAAAAATGTGCATGATAGTAGCAGTGGTATATACCGTATTCTGGACACCATTTCTCCTCGTGCAACTAACTGGTCTGTTTGGAGAGTATTCTGAACTGATCTTCAATTTACATGCCGTGTCCAGTGTCCCGGGTGTCCTGGCCTCCGCTGTCAATCCGTATCTATATTCCTACATGGATCATTATTATAAAAAGAAATTTATTAATATTTTTAAGTTTACAGCGAATGAAGAATAAACAATATTACTGTAATGCCTGGATGAGAGTGCATGAGAGTTGGGACACATGTAGTTTTAGATTGTAAGTGCATCATTACAGTTTGTTCCACACAATACCGCTCCCCTCCCCTCCCCAATCAATGTTGCTTAAGGTTACAGGATACCCTTTTGGGCGTTTTGCGGAAAATCGCTACTGCGCGCTCAATATCAGTCCAATTTTCATCACATTTTCACCAAATGCTCTCCAGTGCATGCAAAATATGGTAAAGTTGTAAAATTGACAAACAATAAAATAATATAAGAATTATTCAGGAAAATCTTAAATCGCGGTACCTTTACGCTTTTGAGTTATGTTCCTGCTGGTTTTAAGATATATTTATGAAAATATAATTTTCATACAGTAAAATAGTTGTTCTAAAAAATTGTGTTCGGAAATTTTTGTTTATTTCGTCATTCCGCTGATATGGCAATTTCTTTGACGACTGCAATATATTTCGGAATCGTTTGAGTGAATTGCTCCTTATTATTAAAATATCCAAAATTAGAAAAAAGCCGAACACAATTTTGAAACTGACGTCTGTAGCTATGTCCTGTGAAAATTTGAGAAAAATTCGTTAAAACCCGCAGGAGAACAACTCGTTTGAAAATCAGTAATTGCCGTAAAATTCTTCGGGAGAAAATTGAATTTGAATATTACATTTTCAATGTTTTTCTTATTGCAAGCGAAATGTATTTTATTAAATAACTCGGCGAGTTTTCAACATTTTTCGTTCAAACTTGGTCAGATCTAGATAGTAGAACCAGTCTAATGCTTTCATGGAAACCAGTAAAAAAAATTAGGCAAAATTAACACTCAAAGGTGTTCTGTAACCTTAAGCCAAAACACACCAAATCTGACGAGAAATGGCACACAACATTGAACAGGGAGGGGTGACGTTTGTTGAAATTCAAGGGTTTTGTGGCATCTGTCCCAAGACATTTGAAACTGATTGTAGGCTCTCGTTCTCCCTTAACTGGAGCTGAACAAGGGGACTAAATAAAGGCGGCATTGATTATTAGATGATTAATTAAACGAAAGTGCATTTTAAAATTGTAAAAAGATTATGAGAAATTGAAATGAAAATAAATCAAACTAGATCAAACAAAATGAATAAATATTAGACAGTAGATAAAAAAATGAAAACAGGGCACAATGAAAATGAATAAATACATATTAATTACACTGAAATCTGAGTGAAAACCGTCTCCTTTGTGTTTAAATGTTGCTTCACTCTACTTTTTTGTTAACCTTTGCCTAGTGCATACAAATACGTTTTTACAAGTAACTTATTACAGACATAGAGAATAACCCAAACAATTCAGGCACAAACTCGATATTTCTGGGATACTACCGTCAATCTTTGGGAGAAATTAGATGCAAGGCAGCTGAAAAAAAAATTTACCTCTCGTTTGGGTTTTACCTTTACCTTGATTAATTTTACAATGCTGACTGAATTAGATAAGACTAGTAATTACATTTTAAAAATTATTTTGAATTAATTAAAATTGATAAAATCGATTCTGATCAATTTAGCTATCTTTCAATCGTGCATTTGCTGTGACTTTTTTGGAGAAAAAAATAAAATAAGAAGAGAAAAGTCACTGGTTATATATAAGAAGAAAACAATATTATACTTGATGCATGGCTGTATCAGTTTTAGATTGTTGTCCCTGTATTTTGTAAGTATATGATAAGGCTTAGCTCCTATAGCATATTCTTAGACAAGTTGTCACACATAGAACTACGTTAGCGCATGTCTTTGTTTTCTGAGTTTTCGAAGCACTTGACTCTGCCAGAAGTAATAACTTTCAAACCAAAGGCTAAACAAACCCCCCTATTTGCTCTGAGAGACTAATCTCAAACAATACATCTTTTATACGTTCTATAAAGAAGGCAATTAAACATACAATGCGTATACGAAATTCAATTAACATTTTCACAGATTTGAATTCGATGCAGATGACATTCACACGGCTTCAGACATTGATTAGTTAACATCTTAAGCCCCTAATATCAAAGTTTCTGTGATCACAGTAGGAATTTTGCATAGCCATAGGTATATATCAAACATTTCTTACAAATCCTTCGGCAAAATTTAGAATTTATATACCATGCAAAATTCCTACTGTCATCACAGAAAGTTTGATTGTGAAATGATAGTGTAAATTTTCATTGACAATTGTGACGAATTGTTGTGCCAAAGTTGATAAAATCCCAAGGGTATTTTAAATGTTAATGAAGCGGCAAAATGAAAGTTGATATGAAGTTCATTTAACACATCGTACATTATCATGTCAATTGCAGCATATGTAATAGCGAGTAGATAAAATTGAGTCAAATCACATTTGCGATAGAGTAGGTTCTTTCGCGTTATTCAGGATATTATAGAACTTCACTGTTTCAGGTTTGTTGATTTTATTTTTATTTTTTACAGCTTAATGGCATTACTTTCAAAAAATAGAAATGCTAATAATAATAAAAATAATAATATTGTTTTTTTTTTGCCAGAATACTATATCTGACTCGGGACACATCTATGTAACACTGGCCGTACTAATTCCATCTCGCTTCTACTTCAATAGATACTGAAACATCCGTTATAAGCTACTGTGTAAGCGTAAAGACTAAATAAAGCTAAGGCTTGTCCAAAGGTACGAAATGTTTTTTTTCTGTGTTGGTGTTGTGTACTCAGGTGAATAATATGTTTGCGATGTTACTCTGAGTGCATATCCACACCGGGCAAGCTTGAAAAATATGCCCGGCCACGGTGGGATTCGAACCTACGACCTTTGGAACGCGTAGCTCAGTTGGAAGAGCATTGGGCTAGTATTCCAAAGGTCGTAGGTTCGAATCCCACCGTGGCCGGGCATATTTTTCAAGCTTGCCCGGTGTGGATATGCACTCAGAGTAACATCACAAACATGGTACGAAATGTGTTCAGATTGGGTAGTCCGGTTGTCAATCCGAGATAATTTTGGCTCACATGCAAGAACGCCATTTCCCGCACTCTGGGCACTTGAGACCAACAGTTGAGGCTATTTTTCAAGGGGGCAGAATCAATGTGACATGTGACTGGAAGGACGTGGGGGACATGCAGTTACCCGCACATACTAATGGCTTTGCCCACCCATTGGACTAAAACTACGAACTAATGGCTTTAGCACAAAATAAAATTCAAAGATACGCTATATAGTGATACGATTGTGGGGAAGAACGGGAACGAGGGAAAGGTCCAATTTAGGTTTAAATGAATTAATATAAAATCTTAGCTTGTAAATGTTCGGCGTTAAGTTTTGTGCCTATGATTTAGTGCGCATATGTTAACGTATACAGCTAATTCAAAAAAGGTTGTCCTTTTCAAACCTTAAACTCTAAACCTAAAACATTGAACTCTAAGCGTGCAAAGCATAATCGGAGCATCATTTAATCAGTTTAGAAATCATGCCCAGCCTCGTCCCCGGCGCTTTGATGTTGCGTGACGCGCGCGCGGGAGGACAACGCACCTCGATTCCCGCGCGTGCGTCACGCAACCAGTAAGCACATCAAAGTGCCAGGGACGAGGCTGAATCATGCCCATTTTTAGAGACATGGTAAATATCTCGTTACGAGAACAATTCATTCACAAAATAGCTGCAATATTCAACTACTAAGCTTGAAACTTGTGCTTACATTAAGTTTTGCACGCTCAGAGTTTAAGGTTTGCAAAGGACAACCTTTTTGAATTGGCTGTATATTGAAAATATCAAATGTAGACTGCAGTTAAAGCCCTAACGAAGCAAGCTTTCCTTGACAAGCTTTCCTTGACAAGTTTTACTTGCTTGTGTATACGTGAGTTTGACAACTGCTTGTGCAATTTTCTGCAATCGAAAGTTTCGTGTTGTCTGCACATGTACTTTCTTTGGAGACACCATTTGCCTCCTGACAAATCGGTAAAATTGTCAAGATAGTGACTCTGATTGATACTCATATTGTATTGACACATCACTATTTAGTTATCAATATTTGAATGAGTCATGCTTTGGAAATGACAATAAATGTTTATAACCCAACCCTTGAATTGAGGTTTGTTTTTCATTTATCCAACCCTGTTTTCTTAGGTGCCCCTCCCCCACCCCCCGCCATAAATGATGACCGTATACGGCAAACATCTGCTCGTGTGTACTTTTGGACAAAGAAAATATGTTTGCAATTATATGTATACGGCCGCCAAGGAAATACTTCTATGGTTTTGGCAAACAAAAGGCGGTCTTGACGTGAGATCAATGACCTGACAATGTTTAACAACATTCCGTGCACACGATCAACAAAAACTTGTCAAGGGAAACTGGTTCACCGTACACACGAGAAGGTAAACTTGTCAAGGAAATTTTGTGTAGAACAAGGAAGAACAGATGGACATCTAGATGGAAGTTATGGAACAAATTCATTTTTAATTTATTTCCTTTGCAGGACCATTGCAAGTTTCATGAAGTAACGATGTACTATGACCAATACACCGCTGTCACGTGGATCGTCGTCCCTTGCTACATTCTCACCATTCTCATTGGTTCGTTTGGGAATGCGGTCATATTGCGTGCCTACTTTACCGACCCAACAATCCAGAAGAAAACTTACCATTACTTGTTGGCAAACGGAGCCTTTACAGACCTTGCAATGTGCTGCGTTTTTACTCCTCTCCTTTTAATCTACCGCGCCAACGAGCATGCGCATACGATCGAGCTGTCACCTTTATGCGAACTAGGTCTCTTTAGTTCAACTTTAAGCGTTTCAATGCAATACGTGGTCTTCCCACTGCTGAGCATAAATCGCCAAGATGTAGCCTCCCGCCCACTGACTCCGTGGTTGACAAAAAGACAGTGCAAAACGATTCTGATTGGTGCGTGGAGCGGATGCGCAATCGTATCGCTCATACATGTTGGTATCCTACATATTCCGACAGATCCCGACGACTCGCCGAAGCTCTACCGATGTATACTCGTGAGCCAAAGTTTGGATCCATTCTCCGGCGCGTTCTTTGTGTACTCAATTTTGCTGTACTGCGCAAGTATTTTTGTTACAGGTAAATTTCTGTAACTGGTCGATACCAGACCTGCCACATGAATCAATGGTAAAAATGTTGGTAAAAATTTTACTGATCGTTCAACATTAAAAATTCAAATTTTTCTATTCCATCCCTGGCCAAAAATGTTACAAAAGGATACCATTCAGTTGGCACACATGTCCTTTACCACTTCTGTGACGTGAGTTTGATAACTGCTTGTGCAATTTTCTGCAGTCGAAAGTTTCGTGTTGTCTGCACATGTACTTTCTTTGGAGACACCATTTGCCTCCTGACAAATCGGTAAAATTGTCAAGATAGTGACTCTGATTGATATTCATATTGTATTGACATATCACTATTTAGTTACTGATCAATATTTGAATGAGACATGCTTTGGAAATGACAATATAAATGTTTATTACCCAACCCTTGAATTGTTTTGTTTTTCATTTACCCAATCCCGTTTTCTTCGCTGCCGCCCCCACCTCGCCATAAATAATGACCGGTCCCTAATGAAGTCAATAAAATAAAACCTTTTGCATTATTTTTCGTTACAGTGAGATGTTACTTTCAAATGTATCGAAGAACGTCGGTCGCAGAGTCGCTGCATACTGTTCTAACAAACGACGACGCAGGTCGTGCGAGAATCTGCGTGATTGTAGCCATTGTCTATACCGTGTTCTGGACACCATTTGTCCTGCTTCAGTTTTATGGCATATTTGGTCAATACACAGAAGTAGTGTTCAATTTACATGCGTTGTCCTCGATTTTCGGTGTGGCGGCGTCGGCAGTCAGCCCGTACTTGTATTGCAGCATGGATGGTTATTATAAACGAAGATTTGCTGAGATGGTTAAATCACTTAAATGTTCACAAGACGATGAAATCTATGAAATGGATGAATAGTATAAATGAGCTAGGATTGAGTATCTCCTAACGAGCGATTGCAGGGCGTTAACTGCAGTAAAAAATTCGGCGTTATACGCAGTTTTCACAATTTATACGTTTAGCCAGCAATTTCACAATTAGTTTATTTAGATCAGCCAAAAACGTTAATTAAGGTTGTTCAATTTCAGAACTTTGGTCAAGAAAAATTGGGTAACAGATAAGTGTTCCATGGGAAGATGTCATGTATAGCCTAAAATATCTATATTTGTCTGTTTTTAGTACGCAAAACAATGTCAGGTGACTTGCACTTCAAAAGTTTCAATTTAGCTCAGCTGGCGCTAGCTGTACCTTAACTCCGGTCTGAAATTCCCAATTCCATTAAATTGCCGATTTTTTTAAATCTTTTGGGTAACACCCTGGAATGGATTACTATTCAAAGGGAAAGTTCCTATGTCACTGATTGGGCTGGAGGTTATAAAATGACGGAGTGGAATGTATATATGTAGTGCTGTAAAAATTACTTATTTAGTTTCAAACTACACACATAAAAACGCACAAGTTGTAACAAACCTGCAGCAGGATTGTAGCAATGCTGTTCCAACAACTTGTCAACAGGATGTGTTCGCACATGCTTCACACGTAAAAATCTCACATCTTGTAACAAGTCTGCCAACAAGCCGTCAACAAGATGTATTCGCACTGCTTGTCACAAGTTGTCAACAGGTTTGGAATAACTTGTTGACAACTTGTAACAACCTTGTCGAAATTATCAGACATGTTGCAAGGTTGTTCTGACAAGTCCGTTACATGCTTGATATAACAAGATTGTTACAACCTTGTGTTGGCAACCTTGTAACATGTTACAACAAACTGGGAACAAGCAGTGCGAACACAACTTGTTGACAGCTTGTGAACAGACTTGTAACAACTTGTTTGCAGACCTGTTACAACTTGTGCGTTTTTACGTGTGTTGTTCCCAGCTTGTTGACAAGTAGTAGTCAACGGCTTGTTGACAACTTGCTACAAGGTTGTTGAGCTCAACAGACTTGTTACAAGTTACAATTGTTTTTGTTTGTGGAAATATATATTATATATTATTTATTATATTTTATCGCCATGCAAACGTTCAAAGAACTTGTTACAAGTTGTTCCAACAACTTGTTATCGTCCTGCAATTCAACAATTTGTCAACAAGTTGTGTGACAACCCTGTAGCAACTTGATAAAATAACAGCATTGTTACGACTTGTTGACAAGCTTGCTACAAGCCTGTTGCAAGCACATCTTGTCGACAAGTTGTGAGATTTTTACGTGTGTAGTTCCAATTACATAAAGATTAGAAATGTGACTTGTTACCGTTACACGGTTACTTCACGATTTGTGTAGCTAGTTAAAAAGTTTCAGTTCAATTTGTTGTAACTTATTTAAAGTTCAATTTGCAGGTTTTAACAACTACACACGCAAAAATCTCACATCTTGTAGCAAGTTTGCCAACAAGCCGTCAACAAGTTGTGTTCGCACTGCTTGTCACAAATTGTCAACAAGTTTGGAACAAGCTGTTAACAATTTGTAACAACCTTGTTGATATTATCAGGCTTGTTACAAGGTTGTTCCAACAAGTCCGATACATTCATGATATAGCAGTATTGTTACAACCTTGTGTCGTCAGCCTTGTAACATTTATGTTTATCATGACTGCATCAGACTTGTTAGAGCAACCTTGTAACAAGACTGATAATGCCATCAAGCTTGTTACAATTTGTTATCAGTTTGTTCCAAACTTGTTCCAACAACTGGGAACAAGCAGTGCAAACACAACTTGTCGACAGCTTGTGAACAGATTTGTAACAACTTGTTTGCGGACTTGTAACAACTTGTGCGTTTTTACCGGCGGTGTGATGCATGGACAATGAGCTCGAGGTCAATAAAATAAACTCATTAATAATTCATGAGGAATAGGTGGGTTTTATATGTGATTATAAAATCATGTTCATTTACATAAACTTTAGCTTTGATTTTCTCGGCTTAGACAACGTTGATTTTTAAAATTACTTCGCTAATGAAGTAATGAGCTCTTCAGATGGGTCGTAAAACACTCGCAGTCAATGCTTTATCAGATATAAAAACGCTCGAGCTGCGCTCAGCGCTCTCGTGTTTATTTCTGATAAAGCAATCCTGCTCGTGTTCTAAACAGTACCAGTGAACTGTAAATAACCAGTGAACCTGTAAATATAGTACCAGTGAACTGTAAATAACCAGTGAACCTGTAAATATAGTACCAGTTCACTGAATAGTACGGCAAATAGGAGGGAGTTATTGTCAACATGCAAGCCGGCAAGTAGGAGGGGAGTTATTGTACACAGAATCAGTTTATAGACTCTTAATGTCAAATGAATGAATGATGCATGAAAAATGTTTGGTCTCAAAAGTAATGTACACAGCTGAACCAATTTTTATAGAAAACACTTTCTCACTCCAGTGCAACGGCGGTCACACACCAGCCTATTCGCAGGCTACCGTCTGCCCCTGAACTTGTTGACGGGCCCTCCCGCAAACTCGGTCCCATGTGCAATAATTCTCTCTTTTTGGTTGTCTTCTATTTGGGTAAGAATAAATAAAATGTTTGTAAAATATATTGAATTTTGACCATGAAAAATTTATCCGATTTCTTTTTAATACATTGGATATGAAACTTTGTTAAACAATTGTTGAATTTTCCTTTTACAATTTTCTCCGATAGGCTTTTTCGATATTTTTACACGTGTTAAAATTTTATAATAACATGATGATTCGGCCATGTTGTACATGTGATATACGTAAAATCGTTAGTCAGACTTCAAATACCAGTGTTGGGAAGATTCTACAGTTGAATATCTCTTGTGCAAGTTATATATGTGTTGTAAAATAAAGTTTTTGGGTGCATATTAACTATAAAATGTAAAACTTGAAATTAGTGAATATGCACCACAAAAAAGCTGACCTGTCTCAAATGTGGTAGTCCAGTGTAGGTAGTATTCTACAATATTATAAAGCTGCTGTAGTTTCAGGAAAGCCTGCCACACACAAGAGCTCCTGGCTGAGGTAATGACCTTGTAAGGCTGTTTGTTCAGCCACATTTTCATGTATGGATGGTTTTTGCAGAGAAATTATTTTACTTTGTGAGACGAATACAAGTCGTTTCACCCCCAAGTCATTTCGCCCCCAGTTGTTTCGCCCCCAAGTCGATTCGCCCCAAGTCATTTCGCCCCCAAGTGGCTAAGTCGATTCATCTCAACGTTTCGTTAAGAATAAACTGTAAAGAATAAACCATAGAAATAATAGATATATCTATTATTATATATCTATTATTTCTATTTGCAAGCTACCGTTACGCATGCGATTTGATTTTTTTCATCAATGTTTACGTTTCAAACATTTTATATTGTCTGTTTTATTCCATAAATATTTGAAGGATGAGTATGATACCGGGATTGAGTCATTTTTCTATTTATAATTTGATATTCTTTCTTTTTGAAAGAAATATTGTTTCGTTCGGCTATTGTCAAAAACTAATCACTGTTCCGGGAATTTTTTGTTCATCCATTGTAAACTGAACTAATCATCGCGTTGATCACCGACCTTGTCAAACCTTTTCGCGCTTTTGCTTTCGTTTGAAATGTTACGTTTTGTCAGTAATTCTGTAGCCCGCGTGCAGGCCCAAGGGAGCAGGCTCAAGGGAACTTGATAGTGGGCCTGCAAGCAAGGCCCGGTATTTTGTACTTTCCGCGTTCGCCCACGAACGCGGCATTCTGATTGGCTGTTTGCTGTTAGATTCTATAATTAGATAAGTGATTCATCACAAAGGCTCTCGATAAGCTTAAAATTCGAAAATTGATCACTTTTTTCGATTATAAATGGAACAAGAACAGACTGTTTATTATTTACTTGAAGGAAGAGATGTTTTTGCCGTTATGCCAATGGGGATTGCTTGTCGTGAGGTGTTGGAATAGTACTCATTACGACTGGGGTAAACTATAGTAACCTTTACTTGAGTTTCATTAATTTCAAACAGACTTGATATGTTATATGTTCCTCAAGAAAATTATCTTTTGGTTGATGTTGAGATGCAGTTGCATTTAAGCCTATTCGAAACACTTTGCGATTTACAAGGCTTCGCTGAGAGAGCGAAACAGAAGACGGTATTAAATTGCCGTTTGAAACGAAACGATCTGGACTCTGAATGCTCTCTTCTTTTGTAGAGTTCTTTACCAAATGAAATAACTGAAATAAATTTCGTACTTTCCGCCGCCAACAAGAATTGCACACATGATCTGATAAGTGAGACAATTTATTTATAACAATGGCAACAGTGAAGCACACATTATAAATGCTAATGTGGTCGCACGACTTCCCTCACGATTTGAAGTTTGAGACTGGTTTTCTGTTGAAATTTGTCCTAATTTGCCTGTTCCGATTTTAGTTGCAAATTTGGCAATTACTGACTGCGTTGCTTGCTTTTTTGGAGTTAAAACGCAGGCATTTACACATTGTTTATGTTCTGAATAAGCAGAGAAAACCCCGCAACATTTTAATGCGAGTTTGTTTGTTAATATTTGGGTGCTGTCATTGGTTCTTTTTTGACAATTGACGCGCGAATGGGGTGTGTTATGAAAAGGGGCGTTTTACAAAATACCGGGCCTTGCTTGCAGGCCTACTATCAGTTCCCTTGGGCCTGCACGCGGGCTAGTAATTCTGTCACTTCAATAGTGAATAGGTTTTTGATTTTTGCGGGTTTGTTGTTTGATCCAAATATGGGCTAGCTTGTTAGTTTGTAAGAGATAATTCACTAGCTCACTTGGGGGCGAAACGACTTGGGGCGAAACGACTTGGGGGCGAAAAGACCGGATACCTGTGAGACCATGAGAGAAATATCCATTGTATTTGGTTTGATATCTGAGAAACTTGTCAAGAAAGTTACTGCAATTAGTTTAGCCAAGACCTCTTGTGTATAGCATGTTTGGGAACCGGCTGAAAATGATTAAAACACGCAAACATTTACAACCATAAATCTCCTCGGGAGGTCAGAACACCTACATTGGACTACCATGATACTAAAAATATTGAAAACCTCCCAAAAATATTGCTAAACAGACTTCTGTCCACATCCTTTTTAGTGATCTAAATTACACTTTCTACTTCACAAAAGACTTCCATAGACTACATATAGTTCAATTATGTTTCATTCCCTGGTGATTATAGCCCACCAAATCATCAAAACCAAGCATTTTTGTCATCCAAGTTCATCAATTTGGCACTCGAAAAAGTACAGGAAATGGCATTTCTGGGCCTCAATTTTTCGTGTTTTCCTGAGGGAGCATGTCCCCAGACCCCTTAGGTTTGTGGATGCCTTTCATAAATTTTTGCCCCTCCTAAATTAATATACTGGTAGTCTCACATACACGAAAATGAGGATCTATAGCCAAAGTGACATACTTTCCAGGAGGTGGGTATTGAGATATTGTACAGTAATATCACCCACTTGAGATTGTGAGATTTCATCTGTCAGTGTCTTGACTGCATTTGAAAATCCGGAACTAGGATGGAAAACCATGAAGATTTCATTGTCATATTTTATAGTAAACCATGGCTGACGATTGGTCGATAGAAGAAAGTCAGGTTGTAGTTGGTCCCGAAGTTCAGGATATCAAATTATTTGGCAAATGGAGTGCTGATGAAGTTCAAGTTGGAGATATCAGTTTAACAGTTAGTATTTATTTAACCCATTGAGTGGCAGCACTCTCCCCCTGACGAGTAAAATCCTTTGATGTTAGATGGAGTAGAATAATAAAGTAGGGTGCATCTGGGTGCATTGCCACTTAAAGGGTTAAACTGGAATCTATCAGCAATGATTTCTGTCCTATGTGTAGTTGTCAGAATCTTGATTCATCCAATGGTTCAATTGTCCTTTGAACACATCTAGCGCCCCTGGCAAGTACTTCAGGCTAGAAGACTGAATGAGTACAAACTATTCCCTGTTCTTGTAGGATTATATTGCGGTCAAGGAGAAGAACTCGGTATATCTGCCACATACTGCTGGTCGATATGCTGCTAAGAGATTCAGGAAGGCGCAATGCCCCATTGTGGAACGTCTTACCAACTCCATGATGATGCATGGCAGAAACAACGGCAAGAAGTTGATGACAATCAGAATTGTGCAACATTCATTTGAAATTATTCATCTTCTTACAGGAGAGGCAAGTTAAATCACAATTGTTGCAAGAAAAAAATTTCTTGTCTACAATTAAACTAAAAAATTTGTTTTAAACTTTGCAATCAACAAAATGATGAAGGTACAGACAACAGGACTGAGGAGCCCCAAATTAAGTCCTACCTACACATTACATTGACATTGTAAAACAATAGAGACAGGGTTACAAACTGTAACAAAGCTACAACACAAAATTACATCACATGATCAATGCATTCCAAACCATCCTTACACTTTCCAAAGTTAATGTAAACTAGACATGGACCACCCATATATTGCAGTCCTTTCTAAGTCAACTACCTCAAGATGAAGTCAAGAGACCTGAAAATTACAAAGAAGTTTGGGAAATGTAAATATATCAACATTGTACATCACAGTCACAGAATACAGTAAAGATCCTAAACGTGCATGTGTTCCAAGCTGTCCCTGCCTTTTCCAAAGATAGGATTTCAAGAACATGGACAATAGAACAGGAATGACAATTTTCATTTAATTTAACTTTTTTGTTATGTCTTTCAGAATCCATTGCAAGTTCTTGTGAATGCCATCATTAACAGTGGTCCTCGCGAGGACTCTACCCGTATCGGGAGAGCTGGTACAGTTCGTCGACAGGCTGTTGATGTTTCTCCTTTGCGTCGTGTCAATCAGGCTATCTGGTTGTTGTGCACAGGAGCAAGAGAGGCTTCATTCAGAAATATCAAGTCCATTGCTGAATGTTTGGCCGATGAATTGATCAATGCTGCTAAGGTATACATGTGTATTGTAATACAATCTTTGCCAAAGCTTGACAAAGGACAACACAAGAACAACAGCCAAACAAATTAATTGGAATTTAATTACATTGTGCTAACTGGATTTTGGACATTGAATTTGAAGAATCCAGATTTTGAACATTGTGCAATTTTAGGTCAACATTACTGAATTTTCACGCATTTTTTTCCAGTTTTTTGCCTAGAACAGCATCGGTTGAATCGATTTTCAAAAAACATCTGTTTTTTCGGATTTATCAATTAACCGGTTACCTCACCCTATTATTAACCCATTGAATGCCATTGCTTTCCCCTTGATGAGTGAAATTGTCTGGCTATAGACAGAGTAAAACAATAAAGTAGGGCACAATGCAACTTAATGGGTTAACAAGACACACTATCAGATCTGTTTGTAAAAAGTTCCGTGAATTCCCTAAATTAGGAGCATCTGAAATATGCGAATAGAATTTTTCTGAAATAAGTGTACATTAATGCCACCATCTCCAAATATTTAGAAAGTTGCATTTCTTAATCATGATTCTTTCTCATTTTAGGGTTCCTCCAATTCATACGCCATTAAGAAGAAAGATGAGTTGGAAAGAGTGGCCAAATCTAACCGTTAATTTCTTTAACGTCAATGCTCTTTATTCTAACTGAATAAAATTATATGAACCTGATGTTCCTTTGTTGTTTTTGTTTTCTTACTCAAAGTGTGTGTTCGGTTTCTTTTGCTGTTGTTTACGTGGAAAATGATGCGTTTGTTAATTTTTTATGCACTATATGTGAATCAGATTACGGTTGTAATAAGCGCCCTGGTTGTAATATTGCCATGGTGCGTGAAATTCCATAACATTCTCGACAGGATTACAAGGTTTCAGTGTTTGAAATCGGCAGAAGCAAACGCCCACTGCCGGAGGACAAATTGCAAAAGATGAACTTAGCAAGTTCCGACAGAAGCATACACGTTGTGTAGTGCGCGCGTTATTCTTCAAAATTAAGCTTGTGTTTTATTCAAACGAGCCTCCTAGGCATACTTTGTTGCATAAAACAAACTCGCGGGCACATCGGAACATAGAAGTATGGAACTTATGTTTACATCTTCATTGTATTGGTATTATAATGCAAACTCTGAGTATTCGTATGAGACATCTATTTCTAAATCAATTTTAAATTGGGGATATGTCACTAGAAATGGACACCCTTTACTAGAAAATATTTTGTTATAAAAAATTTGGATTTTACTACTACTAAAAAGTAAAAAGTCCGTTTTCTTAAAATAACTTAGGTCATTGGCAGGTTCATTTTAGTCCTCGCTCTGCTCCGAACCAGACAAAAATGGTTGATGTCTTAATTTGACAAGTACATTACTGATTACAATGAAGCCGGATGAATGAAAATCTAATCATTACGGATGTGTCTGGCGATGTCATGCATGTTGGGTGTAAATTCAGGTTGGGTGTGTTAGTAGGTGTGTTCGGCTGACATACGTAATAAAAAATGTGATCAAGAAGAAAATGTTTGTCTGTGTAGAAACATAGCATAAATACAAAACATCTTGCGACGATGCGTGAAATAGCGGCTCCCTTTCTGTCGATGCAGAATTCATAAGCGCATAGATGTCCAAGAAAGTTAAAATAGCGCTTGAAATTTAGCATAATTTACGCGCACGCAAATTCCGGAAAATAGAATTTCCCCAACCGGAAGTTTTGTCTATTCAGCACTTCCTTCATCAACAATGAAAACTTATCATTTTCTTTACAAAATGGCGGACGGTGAAAAATTGAAGAGTAAGAAAACCGTTCGCTTAGACGAGGATAGCGCGAAAAGCGAAGACAAAAAGGATGAAAAAATACGAAAGAAGCTTTCCTTGAGTCTCCCTCTTTGCCCTGGACGCTCTTTGCGGACAAGAAAGCCTTCAAAAGGTGATTTAATTTTAAAACTTTTTAAGGAATTTCAATTTGGCGTTAAAGGCTAATGAGTCATTTGTGGTGTGTTTTAAGCCTCAATAAGGAATGTATCAAGTGTTTTTGTTTGTGTCTGTTTAATAGAGTGTTATTTGTTTTCTTTTTTACAAGGGTTTTTGTTATGAAATAAAATATCTAAGTTGTGTTGGGTGTCAAAATATTTCAGTCTTACTGTATAAATAATAACATTCCATTGACGAAATATTTATGCATATTAATTATACCTACTGTGCAATTGTTATTGTGTACATTTTAGGGCTTATAATGTTTATTTGAACAAAATAATGTTTATAATTAAGCTGACAAGAGTTCAATACAAACAACTGACATTTCAAAACCTTTACTTATTTATTATGCTATGCCAATTTCACACAATCTGCACAAATACAAACACAAGAATATACAACCTTTCAATCGTAGCAGGGTGTATGCTACAATTACGCCAATTACAGCAGCCCTTACAGAACGAACATGACACATTCTTCATTGGATCTTTAGTGATATAAAAAGGCCAATTTGCACCCAGAAAAACCCTTCACAGGTTTAACAACTTAGACTGCTAAATAGTTATTACAATATATCTTATTGGCTCTTATTGTATGGATTTAATTTCCATTCAATAAATTGCTATAAAAATGTTTGTCTAAACCAAATATGTATGGGCTACACTAAACCAACTTTGTTTTTCCTGGATAGTTCTTATGGTCATAAACATTTCACACGGCTTGTTTACATTTGCACCAGACTGTAAAGTTTGGTCTGTGTGGGGATTCTTCAAAATCTGCACATTTTTGATGAACTAATGATTTATTTTGTCTCTTACGTGTTGGGCCTTGCGAAAAGAGGCAGAGAAAACTCTGAAAATGCTATTTCAGATGATCTAGAGACTCCAAATTTTCAAAACATTTTCACTCAATGCATGCAACCATGGTGGTGCCTCGTGTAAGTTATGCAACCATGCATTCTCAAACGTTCTGCCTTCATTTCCGCACAACTGCCATTTATGACGGAAAAGTTCCCCACGCAAAAATAATACTTTACAGTCTGTCACTTGCGCTGGCAATTTTTGCCGTGATTTCTGGTGTGATTGTGATGCATGTGAACAATTCAACAAGTGGATAAGTGAATTCATAACTCATTCACATGTATCTGAGGAAGAAAATTGCAACTGTAAACGAGGCTTTAGAGTTCCAGTCAGGGTGACTCTTAGGCCTGTTTTATACGTCGAATTTTGGTCGCGTCGAGTGCAATTCAAACGGTAGATAATGAAGCTTAATGAGGTTTATCATCTTGTTATCTATTGTCTTAATTGCATTCAACACAACCAAAATTCGATGTATAAAACGGGCCTTAGGCCCAGTTTAGACAGTGAACATTTCATGTGCCGATAATGTTAAATTTCATGTAACATTATTAAACTTTTATAAAAAGTTACCAATTGTTGTTGAAAATTGAGCCCTGCCCACTTTAAATTAACCCTAATTTTTTCACGATATGAAACCGGAACCACAAGTATTCTTTTTTTAGGCCTAATGGGTTAATGAAAGCATCTGCCAATGTGTCTTCGTTGTTAACTCATTAACTAAGCTGCAAATTATGCAACATACTTTATTATTTTACTCCGTCTAATGCCAGATGATTTTACTTGTCGAGGGGAGAATCTTGTGCACTTATGGGTTAAACCGAACACACTCTTTTTACATGCAGTGACTGTGAAAGGCACATGATTGTACAGCATTAACCATTGCGATGCTACTAAATAACTCAGAAATTTTTCATGTGTATAATGCACAGGTTTAGATATAAAAGCAAGTGAACAAGCAAGAAAAATCAAGAAAGCCATTAGTATACCATCAAAAACAGATGATATGTTAAGGTACAAGTTGTTGATTATGGAATAGTTTTGTCTTGTACGTTTCTAATTGACAAAGTTACTAGTATGTAGTTATTTCTATTACAGTAAACAGATGCGAAAATTATCAGAATTCACTCCAAAGGCTGGAATATTAAATTTCAAAGAAGGGGTGAGGACCATCTTTAATTGGTATAGAAAATTAATATATGATTGAAGTTACTAATGAAACATATTTCTCATGCAGATGGAATGTATATATATATTCACAGTCACACTGATATGCCCTAGTATTTTATTATTTTACCTGTCTAATAGATGGTTAGGTGCATTGGGTGGGAGGCCTGCCGTTTGTATACCAGATACTTACCATTACTTGGACTCAGGTCAAGCTTCCAAGTATTGACATGACCACCCGTTTGCACCTATCACACTAAATTACTAAGTGGGACGCAAACAAACGATGAAGAATTAAGAATCAGAGTAACAAGAAGGAAAAAAATTTTCTAGCTTGCGCTTACAACTGCTTGTCAAGCTGCGCTTCTCACAATGATGCAGGCAATGCCTGTTGTGCTTCCTGCCTTTAACGCCTAGGTTCGGCCCATGCTCCGCGCGCTATGTTACCTTGTTGTTAACCTTGCTTATTGCATAACCTCATTTAACACCTTCGGTAGCATACATGTACAACTTACCCGTGTGGATGGTTAGGTGCATTGGGTGGGAGGCCTGCCGTTTGTATACCAGATACTTACCATTACTTGGATTCAGGTCAAGCTTCCAAGTATTGACCTGACCACCCAAAGTGATATCCCCATCATTTATGCCAGACAATCTTATTCACTCAACAGGTTAATATTCCAACTTACTTAACAAATTAATTTCTGTTTTGTGTGTTTCTTGTTGTACCATTTATTGTAAATTACAAAACAGAAATGTGATCAACATAATATTATCCGATTGCAGAGATTTCCATTCACAATGAATGATTTTGACTTGCTCTGCGCCATTGGTAGTGGTACATGTGGCGAGGTGTCCAAAATGAAACATAAACCAACTGGAAGAGTTTTAGCTGTTAAAGTGAGTGACAACATTGGAATATGTTGCTTGAATATATTTTGATTGTGTCCCTATATATTTCCATTTTAATTAACGGCCATTAACTTTGAAGTGGCAATGTGCTCTATCGAACCCAACTCTGTCTAATGCCAGACTATTTTACTTGTCAACGGGAGAGTGCTTGCACTCGATTGGTTAATCAGACTATCTGCAGCCCATGTGTCTTGTTAACCCAGACTATTTTATATTCTGCCTAATGCCAGAAAATTATGCTTGTCAAGGGTGCAGGAGGGCGCACCCCCCCAAAAAATATTTCCCACCCCACCCCAAAAATATTTCCCACCCCACCCCAAAAATATTTCCCCACCAGGGTGCACACCCCCAAAATATTTCCCACCCCACCCCCAAAATATTTCCCCACCCCGCCTAGAGAAATTTCCCTGGAAATTAAATGTTCATTGAAATAAATGACAGTACTGTGATTGAAACAAGAATTTTGAACTAAATATGGTAAGACCAAATATCTCATAATTTCCTGGGGGCTTCACTTGCTTACCCCCAAACTGGCCTCCATACTCTGCCCCAGACCCCTGCTGCAACTTGCTCAATGATGCTATGTGCCCCTCACCCCCCTGAATCTTTACTGCCCCCCCCCCCTAGAACTGTCCATGATGTGCCTTAGTTGGCAAGACCAAAAAAAAAATATGTGGGTTTCCGGTTTCTTCTTATAAAAACTTAGGTAGGGTAGGTCGGTTTTAACTTTTTTTTTAAAACTTTTTTTTAATTTTCCGAACAAGCGGACGCCATTTTGTTTAGTCAGTGCTTCCACATCCAAAGATAAATTTCCCTAATATTGTCTCAAATTTCAATTTTCTGCAAACTTTTTCCTCTAAGTGGAAACACTTACAAGCATGATCCAATAAAAAAGTTTAGGGTCGGGATTTCGACGTCCAAAAGCTAGGTAGGGTCGGGAAACCGGAAACCCACATATTTTTTTTTTTTGGCCCTGAATGCATCCTACTTTTGATTAGCCTGCTTGCCGCCTGGACCCCTTGGAAATTCCAGGCGGCAAGCAGGCTAACTTTTGATGTTATATTACTCTGTCTAGTCCCAGCACTCAATGGGTGAATTGCAAACGGAATGCATTCCAGACTTATTCATGTACTATTTAGCTAAAACATGAGCATCAGATATAAAGATACGAGGCGAAGCCGAGTATCTTTAGGTCTGATAAAACACGCACTGCGAATGTTTTAAATTGCTTCAAAAACGATCGATCTAGTATAAGTTCATTGGCGAAGTAATTTTCAAAAAATACGTTGTGTAAGTCGAGAAAATCAAAGTTAAAGTTTACGTAAATCAAGGGAAATTCTATAACGTATAAAGATACGACACGCTTATGATTTTTCTTTGTTGAATTATTAATGAGTTTTTGAATATGATTATGAAGAATGATATCTTTAATAAAATCCCATTCCAGAAAATGTGTCAATCTTATAATGCTGAGGAACAGAAGAGGATAGTGATGGATTTAGATGTTGTATTAAAAAGTCATGATTGTCCCTACATTGTAGCGTGTTTAGGAGCTTTTATTTCCGAGGTATGGTGATTTTTTGCCACATTTGCTGCTGTGTGTGGTGAAAAATTGGTGAAAATTATTTTCTTCTTGTAGTCTGACGTATTTATAATAATGCAGTTAATGGAAACGTGTTTTGATAAATTAAAGAACAATTATGGTCCGATTCCCGAACGAATATTGGGAAAAATGACAGTGGCAGTAAGTTTAATCATTTCTGTAATGCATCAATCATCTCGTCTTTTAGATAGGCAGTTAATTGGTAAAAAACAATTTTCTTGAAAACCTATTCAACCAATGGTCAATGTTGTATCATAGGCCAAAAAACTGAAAGACCGAGAAAAAAAACCCGGCTGAAAAACCGGAAACAATTCGGAAAAAAAACTGTTTGAAACTTAATAATATATTGAAATAAAATGGCATCTTGTCAAAATTACAGCGCTAGTTCAACTTTTTCTGACGAAACTTCCAACTTTCAAACGTTAAAAACATGAGAATTATATAGCACAGTCACCTAATGGTGGCTTACCGCTTGTACATTAAGACAGTACTATAGTCTATACCATTAATACAATTGTTTTTAAAACTAAAATAATGTGTACCTACTGTAGCATGCTTTGACAATTTTATAAAAATTAAAGTCTTTTTTCTGGGGAGTTTTGTTTGTTTGTTTGTTTGTTTGTTTGTTTGTTTGTTTGTTTGTTTGTTTGTTTGTTTGTTTGTTTGTTTGTTTGTTTGTTTGTTTGTTTGTTTGTTTGTTTGTTTGTTTGTTTGTTTGTTTGTTTGTTTGTTTGGTTTTGTTTGTTTGTTTGTTTGTTTGTTTTGTTTGTTTGTTTGTTTTGTTTGTTTGTTTGTTTGTTTGTTTGTTTGTTTGTTTGTTTGTTTGTTTGTTTGTTTGTTTGTTTGTTTGTTTGTTTGTTTGTTTGTTTGTTTGTTTGTTTGTTTGTTTGTTTGTTTGTTTGTTTGTTTGTTTGTTTGTTTGTTAAACTTTATTGAGTACAAATTAATTCAACAAATATTCATCTAACATACAATTAAAGAGCTGTACTCAAACGGACAAGGCACAAACTGGACGTAAAGTCCATTGCATGGTGCCCCTCCTCTTCCTAACATAAACCTTTTAATTCGCAGTATACTGTATACAGGGTGTCCCAAAAAAACCAAAACCACTGAAACAACGCACTGCCAGAATCCGAACGCCTCAGCACCAACTGAACGCAAAGACACGTAAATATGATCGACATGATGCATATAATATGAGTATTGAAGAAATTAAAATATCTTTGTAAGCTCACGATTATCTGCTCTTTGGAATTTAAAGCAACTTCTTAAACAGTTTCTTTATTCGTAAAATTTACTTTTGTCAAGCTTTTATGCACTTATGGGTTCAGCAGAGTGCTAAGGCAATTCAATTCCCAAGCAACACGCCATGCATCTCAACAGCCTTGGTCCCCTCTGGGGCACCCTGTATAACATATTTACTTAATAAATATTAATATTATGCATGCACATTAATTTGATTAGTTAAGTTAGTTTATTATTTGTGACAACCACAATCACGTTTAAGTGACCAGGTGCAAGTCATGTCCGGATCAAATACTGTTTCCAGAATATTCTTATACCTCATCTTGAGGTATAGTTTGAAAGACGATGGCGATGTAAAACTGGAAGGATCGATCGAGACACAAACACTGTTCCATAATTTGACAACACGATTAAAATACGACGAACTGTACGTACAAGTTTTACACAACGGAGTTTCTAAGTATTTGGATCTCAATGCTCTACGTGTCCGTCCATGATTGACAAAGTTAACAAAATTTGAGACATCTATGTCAATATATCCGTTCACAGCCTTATAAAAAAATACTAAGTCTTTGACCTCGCGATCGTACGCAAGAGGGAGCATATCCAGTTGCTGAAGTCTCTCTTTGTAGGATAGTTCACCGGCTTTGACGCGCAGGATCCATCTCGTAGCACGTCTCTGAATCTTCTCAGCCTTTTGTTTCAATAAGGAACTTGCTGGAGACCAAACCTCAGTCGCATAACTTAACTTGGACCTAACCAACGTCAAATAGAGAGTCTTTCGAACACTACTGTCAATAATTGAAATACATGATCGCTTTAATAGACCGAGTAATTTGTTAGCTTTCGCACAAATGCAGGTAAGATGTGATTCCCATGACAAATTCTCGGTAATGATCACCCCGAGATCTTTTTCTTCGTTTACTCGAAGTAACTTGATAGAATCCATATGGTACTGAAAATGCAATGGATTGACCTTGCGTGTTATGGACAGAACTTTGCACTTTGATGCATTAAAGTTCATGTTATTTTGATAACTCCAAGAACTAAGTTCTGTTAAAGCGTCTTGTAATTTCTTACAGTCACCGATAGTTGATACGTTCCTGTAGAGTTTGGTGTCATCTGCGTAAAGTCCTGTAGAGATACAATCTGGCACAACGTCTGGTAAATCGTTTATGAATATTACAAATAGCATAGGACCCAAAATACTTCCTTGCGGAACGCCCGAAGTAACATGTACCCAGTCGGAGACTGCACCGTCTACAAC